TTTTATTTATTTATTTGCTGCTGTTTTTCTAACGGTTGTACTGTTGTCCGTTTTGTGGCCAGGTACACGTTTTAGGACCAGGGCCAGATTCAGGCCCAGAGGCTGAGCTCCTAAAAACGTTTGGACCTTTTCTTTTGTTTTCGAACAGATTBYKACCTGTTCGGACCCAGGCCGACGTTGAGGCCGGGTACGTCCGCACAGGACTGGTTCGAAGCCAGGTACCAGGAAACTGAATCCTGGACAGGGCCTGGACGTCCGGTAGGGACCCAGGCAGGCCGTTCTTAGGCCAAGGACTGAACCAGTTTCAAAGCCTGCGATCTGGACCGTGGATCGGAGTTTCGATCTGCACGGTCCAGAACGCAGGCCGTGGGTTTTCAGTCCTGGCCCAGCGCTACTTAAGCTGGGCCGTTGCCCAGTTCGTGGACAGAAGGTACCAGGAGAAATCCAGCGTTATGCTGGTTCAGGAACTTCACTGCTGCGCTATTTTGGAGACTCCCTGCTGCGCTATTTCGGGACTGCAGCTGCGCTGCTCATTGGTCATGAGGCACAGCGCTGGAGGAGTCCAGCGCCGAGGAGGGTAGTAGAGTTAGAGAGAGAGAGAGAGAGAGAGAAGAGGACTTACCTGCCCAGCGCCATAGCTGGCTCCGCGGTACCTGCAAGTTCAGCCATCGCCAGGTAAGTACAGGAAGCGCCTAGCTTTCTTCTTCTTCTTCTTCTTCTTCTTCTTCTTCTTCTTCTTCTTCTTCTTCTTCTTCTTCTTCTCCTCTCCTCTTCTCCTCCTACTCCTCCGAAGTTCTTCTTCTTCTTCTTCTTCTTCTTCTTCTTCTCCTCTCCTCTTCTCCTCCTACTCCTCCGAAGTTCTTCTTCTTCTTCTTCTTCTTCTTTGCCAGAGTAGAGATAGAGGTAACTGCAGACATTGTTTGGACACGGCCTTCTGCCTTATTGGACATGACATTCAGATCGGACTTACACCCTACATTGGGATTGAACTGTGTGCGACATTCGGAGATCAGACTTGGGTTGGACTTGGCTCCCTCTATGTCCCTCCCCCTTCTCTCTCGCATGTCTATGGATCTCTCCCCAYGTGTGTGAGCGGAAGGGCAATCTTATCTGGTGTTTTGCCCTTCYGAAGTTTCTCCCTTTCATGTTGTTGTCCACGTGTCCTTTTGATACTAGATCTTCCCCTGCGCTGCTTCCCAGCCTATGATGATGATGATACAAATGTGTTGTTATTGATTTCCCGTTGTTTCACTCCTTGCATCGCGCACATTGACACCTTGTGAATGTTGCACCTATGCTGCTGGTTGTCGCCACTTTCGTCATTGCTAGATCCTAGGCTTTCAGTGCATTTCACTTTCTGATATGCTACATCACGTCTGTACTTCATTTTTAAATGAAATTAAGTTAATTAACATGTTCAAGGCAGGGCAGTTGGCATTTCAGTTCAAGAGCGCAGGTACGAACCCACCTCATCTCGGGGTTATCGGCTAAGAGCATCCCGCACCGGTAGACCTTTATGGTACGCAGTCACACAGGCGTCACCCTTAGTCCCCCTGAGGTGCGGCGAGCAGCCCTTCCGTTCTCATAAAAAAACGCCTACCCCCAACGGGTACAATTTATTGGGCCATCCCCCCAAGGGGTGCTTAACCCTAGTAGGCCAATGCACTGTAGCCCAGCTGCTGGGTCGCAGACAGCAGGCACAGATCTAATTGCATGGGTGTACCAACTGAGCTGGGTCCCTTTGTTGTCTATCGCACAGGTATATTTTGGTCCAAAGCAGGATGGAACGGAACTGAGTGGAACAGAATGGAACTGTTGGAATCAGTGGGAAACACAGAGGACCAGCTTATGTGGCACAGTCCTCTCTCCTGCTCTCTGCGCCTTTAGACTCTGCACCTCCCTTGTTTCTATTTCACTCCATTTTGTGACGTTCTTTTTCTGTGATGCACTTGTTTTGCTGATGGGTCGTCCTGGCAGTCGTTCGTGATGACAATGTCGTTGATGAAGGATGCAAATACTTTTTTTTTTGTTTTCTTTTTGTTTTTTTTTTTCGGTTGCTTGGTCGTACAGGATGTTGATGAGTTGACATGGCGCACATACAAGGGCACATTGACAGAGAAGCAGGAAAGGATTGCTGAAAAGATCAAGAAGCGCGAAGAAAAGGTCTGTATGTGTGTTCTCTTGCTATATTTCAGACGTGTGCGTTTCCTCGTTGTGCTCGAGAACTGTGTCTGCTCCTGTGTATATGTTTGAGCTTAGAAGACTCAGAACCATGCACTTGCATTTCTTGGAATTTATGGCATTCTACACTTCGATGAAGAGCCCATGTGCTGTATGGGGGTCTGGTAATGGGCACCATGGTACTACTACCATCGAAGCCCGAAAATAATGCCTGGGCGTTATGTGCGAATGTACTGCCTGTGAAACGGTATTCACCTGTTCGCAGTAGCAAATGCAGATTCCAGGGCTCGATCCCTAGTTCCTACCCTACCTGTGTACAGTACCTGTGTCGACCCCGAGAGTTGAACCCGTGACCTGAGTATTTGCAACAGTAGATAGGCTGTCGTAGGTCCGTAGGTTGTAGAGGTTCGATCTGTAGACCTGTCGGGTAGAGGTCTTAGCAAGTTCTAGAAGTCGTAGCTGTGGAGTTTCTGAAAGGTCAAGGTCGTAGCTGCTACAGTGTCGAAGGGCCAAGTCCACAGACTTCTGGAAGGTCTGGAAGTGGCCGGAAGGGCTGCTTGAGCGACTTGTGAGAGATGGTCTGCAGAGGGCCCGAAGACGAAGTGGGCAGAGCTGAGGTTGCGTAGCCATAGCCAGCAGGGTTGAGCGGCCATAGCCGCCGTAGGTGGTAGACGAATATAGTACGTGCGTGTGTGTGAGACAGTGTGTCGCGCGTGGGATATCCAGGGTGATCCTGAGTTGAGTGTGTGTGAACAGCAGAGTTGAGCTAGTGACGAACAGAGAGTTGTATAGACGCTGATGCGCCATAGCCATCTGAAGCGAGCTTGTATCTGAACTGTGTTCTTGATTACCATATCTCTGAGCTTTGAGTGGGCGCTTGTCGCCAGTTTGGTGTGCTACCTGTTTACATGGATGCGAAGTGGAACAGAAAGTGAGTCTGATTGCACCTGCTAGTGCGGGGTGTTAATTTGTTTGGTTATAATGCCTGCGTGTGATATTTAGAAAATTGGTAGCAACTTTGGTGAGCACCCCCCCCCAAAAAAAACAGGACAAAACAAAACAAAATAAAACAAAACAAAACAAAACAGAACAAAACAAAACAAGACATGTAGAAAATTCTGTAAAAAAGCGTTTATGTAACTTTTTGGTCAGGATCACTTCAGGATTCCTTACAAATTTTTAACATAAAAAAAGTTAAAAAAACGCAAAATAGTAGAATCGAGCTGAACCTCACCCTTCGAAGTTAAAAACCCCTTTCGATCCCCTTTTTGACGAAAAAGGTGTTGTGCTTTCTTTGCTCAGGCCCCCCTGGTGATACATATATGCATGGTGTCACAGGGGAGACTAGTCTGGTTGGCGGGAATTAGTCGTCATGGAGGAACTTGTGGAGGGATAATGGACGTACCTTTCGGCTGCAATAGCCACTCAAGAAGGCTTCAGAATCCGTCAAACACTCGCTGCCATCTTGGTACTCCCTATGCCATTAGGGCGACAAATAGGTGTGCGGTCGTTATTGCTATATCTGGTTCCCCTGAGTAAAACATACGGTCATTATAGCTGTATTTGGGGCCACTTTCAGTCTAGCTACAGCGATAATGATGGTACATTATCCCTACACTTATAGAAATCGCTATTCGGCGCGCAGCGTTTGGCCGATCCGGGCCGCCCGAGGCCTACCGGCCGACAACCCGGATTTCCGCGCGATCTTAAGACTTCAAGACTTTAAGACTAAGATCGCCTGGCGATCCAGGCCGTTCGCGGTTGCACCTGCCCGACGGCCCAGATCGCCCCGCGATCTTAAAGTTTTAAGATCGCGAGCGAATCCTGGCCGTCGGGCCGTTTACGGCCCGGATTCCCGCGGTGCCTTGGGGAAATCGGTCCGAAAGGACTGTTGGCGGGCGGGCGGGAAAAGTACAGCCCTACACGACGCGACCTACCTACGCGACGCGACCTACCTACGCAACCTACGCGACCTACCTACGCGACCTACCTAAGCGACCTCCCTACTCGACGCGACCTACCTACGCAACCTACGCTACGCTACGCGACGCGGCCTACCTACGCAACCTACGCTACGCTACGCGACCCGGCCTACCTACGCAACCTACGCTACGCCACGCGACCTACCTACGCGACGCGGCCTACCTACGCAACCTACGCTACGCGACCTACACGATGCGACCTACGCTACATGACGAGACCTACGCTACGCGTCCTCTCTCTCTCTCTCTCT